GCTTAAAACAATGTCAACAGAATTTGAACAGTCTGCTGTGAAACATTTGAGTTGTTTTAAGACAACACCAGTCCACTTTGGTCCCGCTCTGACTCGATCTGAACCAGTTCTTAGTTTAAGGGTTAGAATCCTTAAACTTATTCCTGTTTAAGAATAAAGAGAATCGAACATTTAACGGGAAACGTCTGACGAGAGTTTATTAACCTGTTAAGACGTGGTTAAAACATTGAGGTAGTTTGACAACATCAGTGTTCATTTCAGCTTTATTATTTTCCATTAAACCCTTTGTTTCTAAAAAGTATCACTTAATAAAAACCAGTGACTCATTACAGTCAGGAATGAAGAGATATCTGACTTCTAATAGTTTCCTTCTCAGCGTTTTGTTGTTGTATGTATAATCCAAAGGTTCTTGTCAGATGCATCTACAAATGTTAACAGTCCGTCTCCTTTCACTGATAACAGCTCTGATTAATACTGGCCTTCTTTTGTGGCATGGATGGGCCTCAAAAATCAAATTAATTGCACTGTCAGTGTCACAGTCGGGATGTTTTGGATACGTTTATTCTTTACTTTATTAGGTTTGGTTTGTAGATGTTTACAAGTGTGATTTCAGTATTTAAATTTGAAGTTGCATGTTTTGATGTGTTTGGTGTGAACATTGTGTTTTTGTCTTGGCTTTGTCATTGAGCTCATCAACGACACCTGTTATAAATAGCTCCTTCCCTTGAACTTAATGACTGCTGGACTATCATTGACTGGGAGAGAGCACATGGGTCCTGTGCCTATTTTAGCTGAACACTCAGGATCAGGTTGGAAAGACAGAAAGAGGATACTTTCCGCTGCTCAGCTCCGTCCCTGCACGTCTGTCTGTCAGGTCTGCAGCGAGGTGTCAACGTGGTGGGTCCCAGTAGGATTATTTGGTAATGATCAGGATGTGGATGTACAGGTGCATCTAAAAAATGTGAATATTGTGAAAAAGTTAACTTCAGAAAACCTGCTGGACCAATACCAGCAGATGACATCATCACGGACTCTGGAAACTTCACTCTGGACGTCAAACAACATGGATTCTGGGTCTCTTCACTCTTCCAGACTCTGAGACCTTGAAATGAAATGCAAATTTTATTTTTATCTGAAAAATGGACATTGGACCACTTGGAACCAGTCCAGTTCTTTCCTCAGCAGGTAAGATGCTTCTGATGTTGTCTCTGATTCAGGAGTGGCTGAACTTGAGGAATGAGACATTTGTAGCTCATAGGAGTTAATCAGCTGATCAGGGTGTGACACCAGGAGTTTACAACGTTGAACCGCTTCACAATATTCTAATTTTCTGAGACACTGAATTTTTCCATTCTTTTAAGCCATAATCATCAAACTACTAAAAATAAAGGCTTAAAATATTTCACTTTGCATAATTAATTTATGAATTTCACTTTCAGAAATGGGCAGCACGGTGGCGCAACTGGTAGAGCTGCTGCCTCTCAGCGAGCAGGTCCCTGGTTCAAACCCCGGTCCAGGGGCCTTCTGGGTGGAGTTTGCATGTTCTCTCCGTGCATGCGTGGGTTTTCTCCGGGTACTCCGGTTTCCTCCCACAGACCAAAAATATGCATGTTAGGCTGATTGGTAACTCTAAATTGTCCCTAGGTGTGAGTGAGAGAGTGAATGGTTGTTTGTCTCTATGTAGCCCTGTGATGGACTTGCGACCCGTCCAGGGTGTACCCCGCCCCTCGCACAGTGATTGCTGGACATGGGCACCAGCGACCCCCGTGACCCAAAATGGAATAAACGGGTAAAGAAAATGGATGGATGGACTTTCAGAAATGACTGACAGAAAGTATTGAACTATTTCACGATATTCACATTTTTTTAGATGTGCCTTAATGCTGGGATGTGCAGACTCACCAATTGTTCAGTCACTGCAGCTCAAGTCTTAATGTAAAATCAAAGTAAATCAGTCACTCAGTCCTCCACACCAGCAGGAGTAAATGATGACAATACTGGTAAGAAGCTCTTAGTCCCATCCACATGAGATACAGATCAGTGTCAATATTCTAAACCATCAAGTTAAGTTTATCATTTGCATCACATGTGGTACATTAGGTGGTACGAAATTGTGTACTCAGGGTCCCAGTTACACCCAAAAATAGCAAAAATATAAATTATAAAAAGAAGCAGTATATGATATACATTACACTAAACAAGGAAGTGGGTCGTCGGCCTGATTTGCTGGTGTTCACCCTTGTGCTGGAACTATTCCTTGCTAAATGGTTGTGAAATCAGTTTTGTGTAACTCTTTTACATGTTTTAGATCCTCAAGCCATTTTTATTAAATTGTTTTAGAGCTTTTTAACCAGTTTTTAATTCTGTTAACAAAAACTGAATTTGCTCTTTTGTCTCCAGACCTCACTGTGTTCATGTGATGAGAAGGTCAAAACTCATTTGTGCACTGTCAGGATTTAAGCAGGCAAGGGTGAACCCCAATGTGTAGACAAGCACTCTGGAGCCAGGAGATACAAAAAAGATATTTAATAAATATAAATCAAAATGGCTGACGTGGCAGCAACTCACTCTTAGGAGATACAGATGGAACACAAGACAGGACAGGGTAGACCCAATGATGATGCAACAAAGGACAAGAATCACAGACAGGCTTAAATACACAGACAGACAGGACGAGATTACAAACAGCTGGGAACAGGAGGTGGAATCAATTAAGAATAATGAGACAAGGGTGCACAGACAGGGAAGGCCCATCCCTACATGCACAAAGTGGCTTCAGGCTGCAACAAATTATACTAGCAACATTTAATTTAGTTGTTTTTAAGAACTCCGCCACAATTACCGTTTCACAGAACATCCAAAATGACCGATTACAAGAAAAACAATGTGCAGGCTTTAAGTTTATTCAAGGACTTGTGCACAATGATCTCTAAATCTGAACAAACCATTGAACAACAACAACAAAAAATTCAGTTCCTCTCATAAAGCCGTGATGTTTATAGAGTTGAGGCTGAATTCACAAAGAAGAGTTGAGAAGAAAATAAGCAGGATGTTGATTTCTCTTCAGTCCCAGGCTGATACCATGTGAAGTTAAAAATAAAAAAAAAGTCTATCATGAAGTCCTTCATTCCACCAAGGTCTTGTCGTCTTAACAGATTCAACAGCAGAGTTCCAGTTTTGCAGCGATTGCTCCTCCGTCTCCATGAGTTCAGCTCTTGGTGTCCAGTTTTAAACACTTGGGCTGAAGTCCTCCTGAGTTTCATTGTTCTGGCTGACTTTTAAAGCATTGAACAAACTTCCACCATCACTGTACAAGGTCTGCATGACTCAACATGGTAACTTCAATAATCAGCAATGCTACAGTAACATCAGTATGTAAATCATCGTTTTTGTAAATCATGCTTCAGTATATTTTTGTAGTTTCTACTGTATATATTTTTGTTTCGATCCTTTTGGCACAATCAGTCTTATACCAAACTTGTGAACAGATTTGCCTCAGTGATGAGATTTGAAAAGGTGCAAACTAAGTTATAATAAAGTAAGTCATGATTTACAAAGACATGGTACTGTTTGAATTCAGTGGCATTAAAAGATACAAATTATACAGCATGCAAATAAAATTATTAAAAAAATTAACCGACCTTGATTGTTTCACAGATGCAGCTTTGCGTAAGCACTGGGTTCCCTTTGCTCATTTGATGCTAACAGCCAATAAAAACATTGTATTTATTGGTACATCAAGCTGAACCTTAAGACTCAGACCTTACACAAAGCAAAAAAAAAAAAAAACCTTTTCTCCAGTGAGGCAAGTAAAAAGTGAAGTTGTTTGCCTGGTATTAGCACTGTGGCTTAGCTTCCTTTCACAAGTTCAAACTTAAAATAAATAAATATAAAACCTAGAGTTGAGATGATGTTTGCGGTGAACCTCTCATCTTCCAGTAATACCACGCAACAGTTTGCAGGTTGCTCTTCAAACTCAAAGGAAAGTTTTGCCAAACGGCAAATGCAAAACTTATGGAGCCGGGTCCACAATGAAGGCAGGATTTATGATCTCCTCTCCAGTTGGGTACATTTTCTTATTCTCTTGGATATCCAGGTCAACGTAACTGATGCTCTGAGTGAGACGAATTCTTTTCACAGACAAACTTTGCTTTACTTTGACATTCCAGAGATCCTCCTCCTGCTGTGTCAAGAAGTCCTTGAGCTTGACCTTGTCGTCCCTCTGTCGACCCCGGGACAGTTTCTTGGGAACAGGAGCACTGAAGCTGGTGGATGCTGAGTTACCCATGACAGCGAGGTTTAATGTGCAAACGGCAAATCTGGGAACCAAACTGAAAATGCATAAAAATAGATTATACATTTAATACATATAAACAAAAAATCTTTGCATACAACCAAATATTTGCACATATTTTTACCTTTTTAGCAAATTTATTCCTGGCAGTGCCTTCCTCCTGATTTGTCTGCTGAAGTTCCAAAGACGTAAAAAAAAAGTGGTCAGACTCCTTTATTTTAAAGTCTGATGGAGGCCCTGACCTAATCTGATACCAACAGGAGCAAATAATCAATCAATCAGTTATTAAATAAAGAAATAACAATGAAGGGCAATCAGAGCTGAGTAATGAATCCGAAGTCCAGCTGTTTGGAGAAATCAACAGGTCAGAAGTAGTTTCAGTCTGTCAGTCAGTAAACTGATGGGATTTAAAAACCTGCTGAATATAAACAATAAAAAGTAATTTCAAGTCCTGATTGACTCAACTAAGGCCCTGTACACACGTAGCCTGGTGTTTGAAAAAACGAATATCCGCGCAAAAAAATATCGCCGTACATACATGTTCGGATAGAGAAAATGATCGTCTACATGAACCCGGTGATGTTCACCACAGAGCGTTGTAAAGAATATGCCCAACCCATAGGAGGCAGTGTAGTGCAAAGGTGAAACGTATATCAGCAAATCACAACCCTTCAAAGCAACCACAACTTCCTGTTAGTATTGAATCATGGCGCCTGGAGGTTCGTTTGTGTGGACAGACCGCGAGGTTGAA